AGATTTTTGGTTTTCTATTAAAAAGATTCTCAAAAACTATAATTTTGTTCTTTTTACTCTGGATATTTACATCGAATTTACTGTATTTAAATTGATCTCAAATTATGAATAGCAATACCTGAGCAATACCTTTAGACATTTTGACATTAAAATGAAGAGCATCAACAGCTATAGCCCGGGAGCTAAAGGACAACATGTTAAAGCAGCAGACAATGGTCACTGCAGGGGGCAGTATTTGTTCATTTTATTGTTGAAAATTTGAATGGTTTTATTCAGATTTTGGTTTTCAGAAAAGGCAGTCAAAATGTGGATTAAACTGGTGTTACATATATAAACTGTAATGTGATGTATTATGGTATTGAATGCAGAAATGCAATTTTCCCACTGCACATGTAACCAACCAACTCACAAGTATATTGATAATTAGGACAGCTAGTATTGTGCCATTACAGGAAGGACTTCAATATAATCTATACAAATACAAATTAATAATAAGAAAAATGCTGGATAGGCCATAACTGGCAAAAATTGTGCTACAGTAAGATGTTTGTGGCTAATATTACATGTGGAAAGGCTTAATTACGTTTAATAAGAGGTTAGTGTATCAGAAAAGGTGAGGATGAACAAAATTATGAACCAGAGAAGAAACATAGGCATAACTATGATATAGAAGCATTAATATACAAACTGTGAACAGTTATCTAGGAAAATTTGTGAAGAAATGATATACTACTTGCAAGAGGTGAATGTGTGTAATTACCAGAGGTAGTGAGAGAATGAGGGAGGGAATCCTGATACGGAATGTGGCACACCTACAATACTAATACACACATTTGCATATACTCTATCTAGAACTAGATGAAATTCTTTAAAACCAACCATGATGTTAATATAGAATATGCTATTTGATATAGAGATATAAGCAGCAGTACGAATGCATATTGGGTAGCTTAACAAAGATGACATTCCCTGCCCAGCATAATAAATAACTCTTCTTACCTTGGCCAGCTAGGAACATCCCCTCCAGGTCGTACCCACTATACAAACGTACCCGATACAAACCCACTATCATCCCACCTTCATCTAACCACAACTGCTCTTGATGAAAGCCTCGGCATGAAGACAGCAAGTGACGGAATGAACTTTATGTATAAACGATTACGCCAATACTGTTATGAAGCTCACGGTAAGTCAAGACGATATTTAACATCCAGCTAACATCTCTCTTTCTACCAATCATTAGTGAATCAAAGGTAATAAATAACCTAAGTACAGGATTATTCCATCATGCAGTCAGGAGGTTACGTTACATTGGATTCTAATATACAACTGCATTAATAAATGTACTGTAATAACTTAAATACTTGCAGCCCCAGAAATTGCTTATCCTGGCATATTTAAGATTTGCACATTAAGTCATGCAAATTACAAAGTACTGTACTTAAAAATGAAAATTAGGATTCAGAAAACTTTATGAAAACTCCTACAAGGCACATCAGAATCACATGGGTGATTTACATAATTTTATACATACATATATGTTGTACCTAGTAGCCAGAACGTCGTACTCGGCCTGCTATGCAAGGCCGAGTACGCACTTCTCTGCCTACTATGCAAGGCCCGATTTGCCTAATAAGCCAAGTTTTCCTGAATTAATATATTTTCTCTAATTTTTTTCTTATGAAATGATAAACCTACCCATTTCATTATGTATGAGGTCAATTTTTGTTTATTGTAGTTAAAATTAACGTAGATATATGACCGAACCTAACCAACCCTACCTAACCTAAATTTATAGGTTAGGTTAGGTAGCCAAAAAAGTTAGGTGAGGTTAGGTTAGGTAGTCGAACAACAATTCATGAAAACTTGGCTTATTAGGCAAATCGGGCCTTGCATAGTTCTGGCTACTAGGTACGACATATAAAATAAATAAATATATATATATATATATATATATATATATATATATATATATATATATATATATATATATATATATATATATATATATATAAAACTGAAAACTCTAAACCCCAGAAGGATTCGAACCCAGTAGTGTAGAGTTTTCAGTTGCATATTGGCTTGGGGATCTTTCAAGCTTGTTATATATATATATATATATATATATATTATATATATATATATATATATATATATATATATATATATATATATATATATATATATATATATATATATATATATATATATATATATATATATATATATATATATATATATATATATATATATATATATATATATATATATATATATATATATATATATATATATATATGTATGTATGTATGTATGTATGTTTGGTAGCAGTCTTTCTTTTAAACATATTTCGTTGAAAACGACAGTTTTAGTTTATGATTCTGGCACGAATCTTCTCGATATTCCTTATGTTTCGTTTCTCTTCATTGAAGCAGGAAGATTAAAAATGAAGTCTCCAAAGTTCATATTTACTTATTATTTGGGTCTGATGCCTAGTGACGTGTTTCGTAAGGTCTCACCTCACATTCTCAGAGACAAATTCTTTTGCTGTTGTTGTTGTTATTTTAGATTTAGTTACTCAGAACGAAGTGTCCATGTAGCCCGGGCCATGGTGAGCCCGTAACACAATTCTTGTGTAATAGCACCTAATTATATCCCCTCATGGGGAGGTGGTAGGTGATATGGATGAATGACATACATGGGGGTATTAACGGGGTCTTATATAATGGGGGTAGTAAATTAAAAGTATGAAGAACATAAAATGCCAACATATCACTCACTTAATTTACTACCCCATTATATAGAACCCCTTTAATACCCCATGTATGTCATTCATCCATATCACCCACCACCTCACCATTAGAGGATATAATCAGGTGCTAATACACAAGAATTTGTCTTTGAGAATGTGAGGCGAGACCTTACGAAGCGCGTCACTAGACTTCAGACCCAAATAATAAGTAAAAATGAACTTTCGGAGAGTTAATTTTTAATCTTCCTGCTTCAGCAAAGCAAAACATAAGGAATATCGAGAAGATTTGTGCTAGAATCATAATCTAAAACTTTGTCATCTTCAATGAAATTATTATATATATATATATATATATATATATATATATATATATATATATATATATATATATATATATATATATATATATATATATATATATATGTCGTACCTAGTAGCCAGAACTCACTTTTTGGCCTACTATTCAAGGCCCGATTTGCCTAATAAGCCAAGTTTTCCTGAATATATTTTTTCTAATTTTTTTCTTATGAAATGATAAAGCTACCCATTTCATTATGTATGAGGTCATTTTTTTTTATTCGAGTTAAAATTAACATAGATATATGACCGAACCTAACCAACCCTACCTAACCTAACCTAACCTATCTTTATAGGTTAGGTTTGGTTAGGTAGCCGAAAAAGTTAGATTAGGTTAGGTTAGGTAGGTTAGGTAGTCGAAAAACAATTAATTCATGAAAACTTGGCTTATTAGGCAAATCGGGCCTTGCATAGTAGGCTGAGAAGTGCGTTCTGGCTATTAGGTACGACATATATATATATATATATATATATATATATATATATATATATATATATATGTATATATGTATATATAATGCGAACAAGCTTGAATGGTCCCCAAGCCAATATGCAACTGAAAGCTCCACATCCCAGAAGGATTCAAACTCAGATAGCCACGAGTGCTATGCACCTTGGCTTACCTGGTACCTTAATCTCTAGACCATACGACTATAAAAATCTTGGTAATCGTGAAACTGTTTTATCCAAGATCCGTCAGCGCTCGATGGTCAACTCGGGCGTAGATATTGTATTTCATCGAATCACCTCACTTTGTGGGGCCACGTGAGCAACACAAGCTTGTTCGCATTTGTGTTGCTCACGTGGCCCCACAAAGTGAGGTGATTCGATGATATATCTATGCCCGAGTTGACCATCGAGCTCCGACGGATCTTGGATAAAATAGTCTCTTGACTACTAAGATTTTTGTACGGTGATATAGTCAAGTGGTTAAGGTACCAGGTATGCCAAAGTGCATACATATATATATATATATATTATATATATATATATATATATATATATATATATTATATATATATATATTATATATATATATATATATATATATATATATATATATATATATATATATATATATATATATATATATATATATATATATATATATATATATATATATATATATATATATATATATATATATATATATATATATATATATATATATATATATATATATATATATATATATATATATATATATATATATATATATATATATATATATATATATATATATTATATATATATATATATATATATATATATATATATATATATATATATATATATATATATATATATATATATATATATATATATATATATATATATATATATATATATATATATATATATATATATATATATATATATATATATATATATATATATATATATATATATATATATATATATATATATATATATATATATATATATATATATATATATATATATATATATATATATATATATATATATATATATATATATATATATATATATATATATATATATATATATATATATATATATATATATATATATATATATATATATATATATATATATATATATATCATGTGTGTGTGTGTGTGTACACACGTGTACATGTATGTATCAGTAAAGAGAGCTTGTTTAGTAAAGGGAAGTTGTGAGGATGGCAAAAACAGTTGACTGGAAGCACACACACGTACGGGTTATGGAGAGTGGGGTCACTACAGGCAAACTTGCACCTCCTAACAAAATTAATGGTGATGACGCAAGCGATGTATGGCTTATTAACTTTCTATGACAATGGCATGGCAGACAAGTGGAAGCTAAGGGTAAACTTACTTCCAGAAAAAAAAATGGGAAAGGACTTTATGTCTTAAAACAAAACTGGTTTATATATTGCTCCTTTATACAGGTAATGAAAACCAACAAAAGAAACACCTTGGTAATGGTTTCCAATGTAGGTGAAAAACAAGACCAATCAATTATCAAACAAATCCTTCCAAAATGATAAAGTAACACCAAGGAATATTTAAAACAGACCCATATAACCTTCAAAAATTATAATCACTAGAAAAGGATCCAACCAGGGATAACGTTTTTGTATATTTTACACAATGAAACTGTTCAAAGACAAAAGTGAAAAATTGTGTTCAAATAAGCATCAAGAGCATTCTCCAGTCAATGACAGCCATTACAATATTGGAATTCTCTTAGCTGACAAGATTACCAATGACAAGCCTAGAAAACAGTTGTATATGCAGGAGGTCAGGCCACAATGGCTGTATGGCACTCTCTACACTACAAGACAATCCAAGAGTTCCTAGACATCATGCAGGATGCCAATAGAAAAACAGAATGATATAAAAGAACTAATTCCTTCACAAGATCAGCTCAACAAAATTAACAGGGAAGATAAACTTAAGAAGCCCTACATTGTTTCAAATTAGTATTGTGAAAATTGTACCATTTCCTTATTAGCAACTTGTATATGATTCACATCTTACACCTGTTTAGTCAGTGGGGTTCACCTAATTGAGGTGTGTAATACTCTTACAAGTTATTTAAGAGGCATTAAGTTCACAATTCCTCTTCAGAGAACAAAGGACGAGTTCTGATGTTTACTTCTTGTTGCGTGTTTGATGGAATACACGTAAGGTTTCCACGTGGTATAACTACCTCATCTAGTTGAAATTGTCAATGCTTTATTACTGCTATTAAATTCTAGCAGATGGCTAACAAAAACATCAATTACATGATACAAAGTGGAATCAAAATAGTTTCAGTAGAACAAATCTTGAAAATGCTTTCTCTAGGCTTGTTACTGTTCATCTTGGCAAACTTTACCCAAAATAATGTGCAAGAGGACAAGTGAAATAACCTCAAAAGAGGCAACCTGAAAGAACATTTTTTTACTTGCAATGCACTTGGCATGATAGGTAGCACTTTCAAAATCATCTCTTAAACAGTAAGTGTAAATGATTAGATAAATATGTACTATATAATCAACACCATCAAGCAGTTAGCAAGCAGGCCATCTTTTAGGAACAGACTTTACCCCCTAGCAAACTCTCACTCACCCTGCCAGCAGTTAGCAAGCAGGCCATCTTTTAGGAACAGACTTTACCCCCTAGCAAACTCTCACTCACCCTGCCATCACACCATTAACACATCTAATGGACCAAATTGCAAAATGGTTTCAGTTTGTGCCACAAAAACACCAACCTTTGCAACAATGACTATAGGACATTCACATCCTTAACTGGCCCAGTCTTTCCTTGTCTGTGGCAAATGTAAGAAAGCCTGCTGCCCCTAGCGCTTGATTCTTGTGTAAACAATCAAAAACAGAGCACAGGAAGACATTGACCAAAGGTGGAACACTGAGACCAGAAATGAACCTTATTTTTATTTATAACAAGCAATGGAAAATGTAACCTAGCATCTCTTTCATAAAATATGAAATTTCATAAATCCTGAATAATAATTAAGCTCAATGTTCCGTGTTGGATGAGGGCAGACTCTTGCTGTGTGTTTTTGATAATCTACACAACAGTTTAACAAGAGATGTGTTTAACCTTCAATAACAGTGCACAACTTCACAGAAATATTGGCATGGTTCACCCCAGAGAAGCCCAAAAGCAGTATCTCAACTTTTACCCAATTAAGGGGAAAATGATCAAATTTAAACAATATATACCACATTAGTCAACACATTATAGCCAACTAAATAATATTTATAATAAACTCCAATTTTAATAATGCTTAAGGACAAAATAAAGCTCTGACTCTGAAGTATTCAACAACTGACAATAAATCAATGGGAATTATGAATACCAAATGCACTGTTAAGACTATCCCTGTATCATTACATAGAGATAGGCTCATTTTGAAAATGTTCCATAGTACCATCATTAACTATTATTGCTTCTTAAGCTCCTTTCCCACAGAATATGAAACTATCTTATTCCAGTCAATCTTGGTACGAGTAACAGGCAGCTGACGACGTAGAGCCTTGAAGGTCGTGTCCGACATAGTTTGGTAGTTTTCGCTTATGGCTGTCTGGTATTCATTTTCTGCCGTCTCTATGAAGTGCACTAGCTCTCGGGCAGTTTCCTCCTCCCCCTGAAGCATAATAAAGAGTAAACTACACACCACACACACACTGCCAAACACTATTTCTTAGTCTCTTGATAGCTTGTGTTCATAGTCGACTCCAAAAATATATTTAATGTAGTTTCTATTTAAATATATTTTATATATTTAAAATATAAAAAACAAATATAAAAAACACAATAAAAAATACAGTAGAGTATTGAGAAACTTACAGCAACAGTTAGATTACCCTTGACATCTTTAGATGTGACTAACTGGACATTTCCATCTTCATAATAGTGAACTTGAACCTTTAGGACCCCCTTTAACTCCACACTGCCGCCTCCTAGAGTCACCGTCCACGTTGATCGCCACCGCCCATTCCTGCGATAACAGAGCATTTTGATTACTATTATTATTGGATATCTTCCTCTGTATGAAGGGAACATTCACCAGCAGGTGCAAGGCCCTAGACACTAGACGCATGCATGGATTGCTGCATGTGATATGAGGAGAATAAAAAGGGAATAAGAAGCTGGGAGAGGTGAGTGATTTTAAGGAGAAAATAGTGCACATGCTTAAGTTTATGGGAGACAAAAATTAAAAAATTAAGACAAATGGAATGGAGTAAGAGCTATTAGAGCAGGAGTGTTAATGTAAAAAGGAACAGCAATGTATTTTAACCATTAGCTGTGGCACATTCTGAAACCTGCATTATGTATTACTGCATTTTGCATTATTTATTACATCGAGTCTCTATTACTATCTAAGCTCGGTAATCGGAACCATATAGGGACCAAGGTGGTGCTGCTGCTGCCTAGGAGGCACAACAACAGCCACTGAGGCCACACCTTGCCCATCGGGGAATCAAACAGGCAAAGCGCAGGCTCCTGCACAATCAGACGAGCAACCTTCAAGACACCCGGGGCCAACCCAACACCAACGGCAGAGCAGCAGCAGGGACAAGGCCATTGGAGGAAGAGAAAGTGACGCCGACCAAGAGCCCCCCCCCCCCACCTTGGGCCCAGCCAAGTCCGAACCCAGGACGGGACCAACTCAAGAGTTCTGCCAGTACCCAGGAACACAAACCTGGTGAGCCAGGAAAGAACCAGATTCCTGGCAAGCAAACACATACCTAGAGCATACCTGGAGAGGGTTTCGGGAGTTGATACCTGCTTGATGGGGTTCTGGGAGTTGTTCTACTCCCCAAGCCCGGCCCGAGGCCAGGCTTGACTTGTGATAACTTGGTCCAACAGGCTGTTGGAGCAGCCTGGTGGTCTACACATACATTACAACCTGGTTGGTCCAGCATTTCTAACAAAAACTTAACAAAATGCATCTTGAAGGCATCCACCTTTGTTCTGGCAATATTTCTAATGCTTGTTGGGAGAGTATTGAACAGCTGTGGACCCCTGAGGTTCAAACAGTGTTCTCTGATTGTGCATATGACACCTCTACTACTCACTGGTTCTATTCTGCTTTTCCTTCCATATTTTTCATGCCAGTATGTTGTTCTAATGTGCAAATTTGGGACCTGGCCTGCCAATATTTTCCATGTATATATTATTTGATACTGTTCTTGTCTGAACAAATCCACAAGGGCCGTGATGAGGGTTCAAACTTACACCCAGGATGACCCCAGACACTGGTGTAAGTTCGAACCCTCATCTTCTATTTGTTCATTTGATGCATCACGCTATTGTGATTTCTGTGTGTATTGAAGTGAGGGCGAAGAGGTAGAACAGCTTGTTGGCAGAGCCTGAGTGCATGGGGGGGGGAATTGTGTAAAACCCTGGTTTGTGTCTCGGAGAGGCTGCAGGATCCGTGTGAAGTCAGTGGAATTCCTGGTTGCAATTCTTTTGACCATGTCGTGGCCTGGTCAACTAAGGCAGTGTCTGGGATCGTCTTGGGCGTAAGTTTGAACCGTCATCAAGGACCTTGTGAATTTATTCATTTGATGCATCACGGTATTGTGTTTTCTGCATATTTCTTGTCTCATTTCCAGAGTACATTTTGAGAGCTTTGAGACAGTACCTATAATTTTGTTGTTTTATAAGTAATTATCAAAAAGAAGGCACCAAGCCGGGAAGGCTATGTAGCACCATCAAATGTGCAGAATAATCATAGGGCGCTAAATATCACTAAGGATGCCAATATGAGAACAGAAACACACAAGGTGAACGATATCAAAAGTGTCTGATTCACCAAGAATTCTATCAAGGAGACAAGTGACCTCGAGGGACGTTTGGGAAGCAAGACACACGCTCGTCCTGGAAGTCAGGACAGTCAACAAGGATATGCACGACTGTAAGAGGGACAAGGCAGTTTGGACAATAAGGAGCAGGGCGGTGCTCCATTAAGTGTTCGTGAGTTTAGTGTGTATGGCCAATATGAGAACAGAAACACACAAGGTGAACGATATCAAAAGTGTCTGATTCACCAAGAATTCTATCAAGGGGACAAGTGACCTCGAGGGACGTTTGGGAAGCAAGACACACACTCGTCCTGGAAGTCAGGACAGTCAACAAGGATATGCACGACTGTAAGAGGGACAAGGCAGTTTGGACAATAAGGAGCAGGGCGGTGCTCCATTAAGTGTTCGTGAGTTTAGTGTGTATGGCCAATATGCAACCTCGGTTACAGCCATTTTCCACCGCCGGTTATGGTGGTAGAAGAAAGGCCGAGGGGATACACTTTAGAGCACGCAGTTTGTTATACCTGCTTGATGGGGTTCTTAGAAATTCTTCTATTCCCCAAGCCCGGCCTGAGGCCGGGCTTGACTTGTGAGAGTTTACACCAGGCTGTTGCTTGGAGAGGCTCGCAGGCCCACATACCCACCACAGCCTGGTTGGTCCGGCACTTTTTTTTTTAGAAAACAGTCTAGTTTTCTCTTGAAGATGTCCATGGTTGTTCCGGCAATATTTCTTATAGTCGCTGGTAGGACGTTGAACAACCACGGACCTCTGATGTTTATACAGTGTTCTCTGATTGTGCCTCTGCTCTTCACTGGTTCTATTCTGCATTTTCTTTCATATCGTTCACTCCAGTATGTTGTTATTTTACTGTGTAGATTTGGGACCTGGCCCTCCAGTATTTTCCATGTGTATATTATTTGGTATCTCTCTTGTCTCCTTTCTAGTGAGTACATTTGGAGAGCTTTGAGACGATCACAATAATTTAGGTGCTTTATCGCATCTATGCGTGCCGTATATGTTCTCTATATTCCCTCTATTTCAGCAATCTCTTGTGCTCTGAAGGGGAAAGTGAATACTGAGCAGTACTCAAGACGGGACAACACAAGTGATTTGCAGAGTACAACCATTTGTGGTGGGATCCCTGGATTTGAAGGTTCTCGTAATTCATCCTATCATTTTTCTGGCTGACGCAATATTTGCTTGGTTGTGCTCCCTAAACGATAGGTCGTCGGACATCATTATTCCCAAATCCTTGACATGTTGTTTTCCTACTATGGGCAGATTCGATTGTGTTTTGTACCCTGTATTATATTTCAGATCCTCATTTTTGAGGTACCTGAGTACCTGGAATTTATCACCATTAAACATCATGTTATTTTCTGCTGCCCAATAGAAAACTTTGTTAATATCTGCTTGTAGTTTTTCAATGTCTTCAGCAGAGGTAATTTTCATGCTGATTTTTGTGTCATCTGCAAAGGATGACACAAAGCTGTGACTTGTATTTTTGTCTATACTGTATCTGATATAAGAATAAGGAACAGCAGTGGTGCAAGGACTGTACCTTGAGGTACAGAGCTTTTAACTGCGCCTGGACTCAATTTTATTTGATTGACTGTTACTCTTTGTGTCCTGTTCGACAGGAAATTGAGTATCCAGCATCCTACTTTAGAAAAGTTAAAGTTAACACTTTCGTCCGGGCATGACGCAATGCTGTGTCGTCAGTTTACTGTCGGTAGTCTCGGGGATGACGCAATGCTGCGTTGTCAACTAAAATAATCACCAAAAATCAGGTTTTTATCCGATTTTTGGGGGACTGGTTTTAAAATGCGCGCCTATCGTGATGGAACAACCTCAGTGCAGCAGGTAACTGTCAACAAGCCGAATGCAACCTGTGACTACAATACAAACATGAAAGGTGTTGATCACTTTGACCAAATGATCTAATATTATCACTTCACAAATAAAAACTCACAAATGGACGAGGAAAATGACCTTCTATTTCGTGCAAATGGCTATCTACAATGCTTATGTGATGTACAACTACTACACAACAGATAGAAGGACTCCACTAAACATTTGTGGGCAGGAATTGGGAGTGTAGCTGGAAGGCGTCTGGGCGCTCACTCGCGGTTAACGCGTGGCCCGTCTTCAACTCGTCGGCGGGTGGAGCGTGACCAGGTTTTTAATTTTATATGCTAATATTCCTCTAGAGCATTTTATTGCGAACCCATTGAGACCAAAATGAAAGACCTAGGACGAAAATTGAGGTGACCAGAGTGAAAATAGTGAAAACATTTTATCGCTTTTGCGCGCTCCTGGGTAACTCGTTCGCACTTTCTCTGTTTGCTGCGGGTAATTAGCCGGGCTTTTGGAGTTTATATGCATTTAGTGCTGTAGAGAATTCTATTGCAAACACAATGATACCAAATTTAATCTCGTAGGACGAGAATTAAGGTGACAAAGTTGAAGAGAGTATACACTTTTCAGAATTACCGCGTGCTCTCGTGAAACGCTGGGACCCAAATTGCATAGTTGAGGGGTGGCGCGGCGGGTGCGCCAAAGTGTTAAGAAAAAATAAACCCAAAATAATACATAATATAGGGAGAATTATAATGATTTATGGGACATATTTAGGGTATACTTTATTTAAGTGAAAAAACTCTAATATTGTCCCTAATCATCAAAACAACCTAAAGAGACAAAGAAAATAGAGTTTGAAATCAGAGAAAAAATCAGAAAAAAAAAAATGAAAAGTCCCAAGTTTTGCAAGTTGTTACTGATATATTTGTTGACCCATTTCATTCCATCTTCACATAGTTATGAAAACATTTACATTCTCCAGGATGTAAACGTTACAACAAAATCACATAATAAACAAAAGAGATAAATAATAAAATCTTTAAAATTCCCCTAAAAAAATATTTTTGGGACATTGATGAAAGTAACATATATCAACATTGAACAATGTATTTATATGATATATAACAAAATAGGTCATATTAACATAGTTACTCATTATTATTTGTGTTGTTATGTATTACTCAGCAATGATATAAAGGCACCAACTGTATACCCACTGTGTGGACACTTCTTACTACTACTATTCTTCTTCTTTGAGCGTCGGACAGGTGCTTGTATCTCTTTATTACTGCATTACCCTTCAGTTCCAGTTATTAGGAGCTGTTCTCC